TGTGTGTGTGTGTGTGAGGCAGTTGTGTCAATACAAGGCAGGTATAGCTGGCTCAGCCTTCACTGATCTTGCAGCCCGGTGGTTACGGCCCCAAACCTTTGAACTCAAGGTCAAAGTTCACAACCCCTTAAGGGCCACAGCTGGTCACACTGTAAAGGTGGACTGGCTGTGTGCGTGTGTGTGTGTAGGTGGGTGGGTGAGGGAAATATGGGTGAGCATGGCCACCTTAAAAGAAGGCATGCCAGAGAGAGCAAGTGTGTGTTGAAGGCTGAATTGTTGCAAGAGTAGAATATATTCTTTCATGACACATCGAATAAATGTCACAAGCTCTGACATAATCATTTGCCCTTGATCGATATCAGGACTGTGGGGGGAGAAAGAGGGGGAGGGTTGCGAGAAAGATAAAGAGACAGCGAAAGAGAAAGAGAGACCTTGAGGGGGGAAGGGGGGAACATAGCAAGGCATACAGGAAGACAAAATTACAGACTTAAAAGTGTATTTTATTACATTTTGGTAATGAAATACCCTTTAAGTTAGAATTGTATTTAAAAATACAGAGACAGATAACAACAGAGACCATGTCAGAGAGAACAGAAAGAAATAATGAAAGGCTGAGCGAGCGAGAGATAGAAAGATATAGAAAGTGGTGTTTATGTAAAGGTTAAGCGGTGGGTGCCTCTCTGTATGTGTGCTCATGTTAATGTCAAAGGGAGATGCTGAGGGGTGGAGCAACAGAGAGTCTGCTCATGAGAGCAGAGATGAAGAGGCAGAGAGGGATGGAAGGAGGAGGAGGAGGAGGAGGAGAAGAAGGATGATGGAGTAAAGGCCTTGAGCCAGACAAAAGATGAAAAAGGAGGAAAACCCAAGATAGGTTGAGAGAGATAAGGTGAGAGTGAAAACAGAGCAGGGCTGGTTTGACAGAGACAGATGAGGGAAAGAGAGAATTTAGTGTTTGTATTGTGCAGAGTCGTCTAACCTGGCATTCAGACCAAAGACAGGACTGCAGTTAAAAGCAAGGGGCTCTGTTGGAAGTAGGTCGCTAAAGGTACACTAAGAAGATGAAATATGATCCAGGAAGTCCACTTTGAGTAATAGATGAAGATAAATAGTTTGAAGGCTTATCAGATGCCGAAACACTACACGTTTAAAATAAAAAGCAGAGGGATTTCACAACTCAATAATCAATCCACCACGATGACAGTCACAAAGGTTAAGCAGAAATATACAATTCACGTTACAAAGTAATCAGAAATGGGCGGTTGAAGAACACAATGATGTGTTGCTGGGTGACCTTGCAATTGTTTTGAAGACATGGTATTACTAATACAGGAAGGGGTTATGTTTTTTTAACGCTGTTTGTCACAACTCTGCCATACGGCTGACTGATTGTTTTTCAGTGCTATTGTGTAATAATTGAAAAAAGTATGTCTGAACAAAAAAAAAACTAAAAATATTACAATTATATCGAAGAGCAGCACAACTTGAATAAAAATGTGCATGTCTCACTTACTGCAGATCCATTTATTGATACAAACTAAACAACTTCTTATTCTTTTTAAGATGGTTTTGGCTGTTAGAGAGAAGTACAACATGCATCACAGGTCTCTGGCTAGAACTGAACCAGGGAAATGGAGGTCATGAACCCCAGGAGGTATAGCTACTGCTTCGGCTACAGCTAATGGGTATCTTAATAACAATTCCATGATATTTACATAGATAAATGATCCAATCCGAGGACTGCAAAAATGAGGTGAACTGACAAAAAAACACCTTGAGAAAACACACACAGTCGTCCAGGTCATTAGGTAAACACACCATTGTCTTTCAGAAAATCTATAGAAACATCTAACTGTCAAAAGTGTTAGTGTAAGAAACAACAGACTTAGAGGCTACACATCCAGGTGATCCACCCCAAAAACACACACACACACACATATATAGGTACTGTACACAAACAAACACAAACATATGAACATGTGTTAAACACACACATATACATACATGCTGTACATATGCAATTAAGCACACACACTTTTGAACAATTGATGCAAAGGCTTGTGTGTGTACAATCCGACACCTGTGATCTTTAAAGGAGCCCTGTCTTTGTTTGCTTACTGTACATGCTGACCTGGTGTGGAGTAAAATTCACCTAATGGCAAACACACAAACACGTCTCATCAACATGTATGAGCCTGCATGGCGTGAGTAGAGTAGCCATGCTTGGGCTGCTCCAGCCCTTAGTCACTGGTTATTCAGTAGGTCTCTTCAAGTTAGGGCAGCAAGCTTCATACCTGCGCACACACACACACACACACACACACACACACACAATCACACTGGCACATGCAAAAGCGGGTTGCTGCAGGAGTGCTGATAAATAACAGTGTCCTCAGTGTCTTTCAGTATACATTCACTGTCTGCCTGTGTGTCTCTCAGGACAGCTTAAATCCTTCAATGAAGTCTTAGCAAAGTCACCAGGCTGATACTACAATATATGAGCACTGATAAGCATGTACACATCAAGGAGCTAATCACAAGTGAGGACACTTTGTTTTGTGAACAACTTCAGAGATGTCCTTGGAATGCTGTCACACCACATCCTGAACTTGTGTGCGAAATCAGGATGTGGGTAGACCTTTGTAAGAGGGAACATTTGTTCAAGTAGTTTGAATGACAGGAAGGTTACGTCCCTCTGTGGTGGTTAATCATACAGTAGCCCATTTTACTGACTCCATGAATTGTAGATGATCATTTATTCAGTTGGTTTGCT